AAATCGACAATACCTCCTCTAGCACCTCAACGAGAGGGCTGCACACGTTAGAGTTGGCGTAAATCGATTTCTCGCGACGTGTTACCCCTATATCCGATAGAAAATTGACGAGTTTCGATGAAAAATTTCTGCTTAAAAGTTGGTGTGTGTGACCACTAACTAGTATATTAGGTTCAATTTTGTCACTTTCGATCTCATAGGAGACTTAACCTTTGGGCAGTCCTTTGGTTGTCTAGAAACTGGCGAGTTACATCCATGGATTCAATGGGTCTTTGGAGGTGTCAAAGAATCCTGCTTTTTCCAGGCGATACTACGAGTGCCGGGCATCCAAAGTCTTCTCAAACCGCTATTTCATCTCAAAAACGACAACTGGAAACAGCAGTTCGAGTATTGTGCTCAAAAGACCAAGGAGAGAATGGCGATGAAAACGAATAGACCTGACATTAGTAAGCTGTATTAATAACTTTGATGATTTAATATACGCTAATGTGATTTTAGTGACACATATTCTCCGAGCAAATGACGAGAAGGGATTAACGGAGCAGGAAATTCTGAATAACGCGCAGGTATTGGTAATTGCTGGCAGCGAAACAAGTTAGTTCTATGATTTATCGGTTGTCAGGGATATGACTAATTGGTTATCTAGCGGCTACGGTGCTCTCTGGATGCGTTTTTTACTTGACCCGAAATCTGGACGCCTATAACAAAGTGACCGCTGAGATCCGAACCTCCTTCGCGGTAGAAGATGACATGAACGCCGAGTCTCTGAGTAAGCTACCGTACTTCAACGCTGTGCTAGAGGAGGCCCTACGAGTTTATCCACCGCTGTCAGTGACTCTTCCTCGAACCACTCCACCCGGAGGTGAGATGATAGCAGGGAAATTTGTGGCTGGAGGAATGACTGTAGGAGTCAATCATTGGTCTTATAATCAAAGCAGCGAAAATTACAAGGATCCTGAATTGTTTACGCCAGAGAGGTGGCTTAGCAAGGAGAACGGTTCTGTAGAACAATATGAAAAGTTCGCTGACGATCAACGGAAACCTTTCAATCCTTTCTCCTTTGGACCACGCAATTGCATAGGGAAAAGGTATGTCTGTGTTCACTACTCATACACCAATAAGTGGGCTAATATAGTCTCCTTCTAGTCTGGCTTATGCCGAGATGCGTCTTATCATGGGAAGGCTGCTGTGGAACTTCGATATCGCATTAGAGCCTGGTTTTGAGAATTGGGAGAAACAGAAAGTTTACATCCTTTGGGAGAAGTCCGAACTCAAAGTACGATTGACCCCTGTTGTTGGATATTAGTTGATTCTTTCAATTTCAAGAGTGAATTGATCATAGGATCTGGCTCAGTTCAATATCATATCAACAAATGGAGATATTCTGCATTTACAATCATATTTGTTCTTGTAGGAGCTCAATAAATAAGAATTTAAGAGAACTTGATATTTAATCGTTTTTTTCATTCTTCAGATGGAGTGATTGTTTGGTTTCGAGACTGCTCTATGAATTGCCTTCTTGACATCATCAAAGATTATCGCAAATGAATCAGAGGCCAATGAAGGCTGTTGAAATCCAAGTCGGAATTACGTTATATACCTTGGAACTCCGTTCGTGGGACGCTGTTCCCGGGAATCTCTTATCGCGATTCTACTAAGTACTTACATATGGTTGTTCCCTGCAACATTGAGGCTTTATGGCAGCAACGGCAAGTTGGGGCAAGGTAACCGGAAGCGGCACGGAATGATCGGATTTGTACTAACGCTGAGTCAACGCTAAAAGGAAACATTGACATCGTGATATTTAGAACTATTTCGCCCAAGTTCGATGTTTTCCGTCTGTCTTCTGAGTGATTATCTAATATCAATTTTTACCAAGGATACAACCATGGATATTCAACTACCTACTTTCTGGTTCAAAGATAACCTTCGCTTAGTCGTACTGCTTCTGTGCTTCGTTGTTGCATATTATGCTTTCGGATCCCGAAGATCCAAACTTGGAGATTTCCCAGTTATTGGCAACCAAGACAGTGCGGATTTTCGCACTGCTCTTGAGGAAGGATGTAGGAAGGTGAGAATCTTCCATTTTACTACTCTTCAATGGAGAATTCAAATATTGACGTTCTTCTCTGAACAGTACCCCGGCTCTGCCTTTATTTTACCTACTCCAATACGACCCACAGTGATTCTTCCTGCAAACTTGGTTGAAGAAGTCATACGTGAGCCAGAAGATGTGTTGGCAACAAGAGAGGAAGTAGATGATCGTTTCTTGGTGAAATATACCCTTATGACCGCGGATGATCACATGATTCGGCGCTCAGTAAACCTGATTACACGGAATATCAATGAGATTATGGATGATATTACTGATGAATTGGACCTTGCAATCTCGAAGGTATTCGGTGCGGATACAAGTATGTTTACCCTATCTTTTTTGAATTTGAAGTAGAACAAACATGGGGTAACGAATTTGTTCTCTCAATGTGCACGATGCTGACCGAGATGATTCTAGCTTGGCAGGCAATTAACGTACACACGCCAATACTTCAGCTTGTTGCAAAGATAAACTCCAGGGTTTTTGTCGGCCTAGAATTATCTCAAAATGTAGAATGGGTGAGTATGTCTCCAGGCTTGGTGACTCAAGATGGTGTACACATTAACACTTGGGATACTTGACTTACTGAAGGATTAGGTCGATGCAATAATCAACTACACGGTTCAGTTGATGACCGCTGTGAAGAAATTGCTGGATTGCCCCGCGTTTCTACGCTCCGCGGTTCAGTACCTTCTTCCTGAGATCCGAACTATCCACCAATCACTCGCCTCGTGTTGTCGTCTTCTCCAGCCAATCTTGGAGGAAAGGAGGCGGAATTTAGCTAAGCCTTCTTTTAAGAAACCAGCAGATATGATACAGGGTGTAATAGATTACGCACCTCAAGGCCAAGGATCGATTCTAGAGTTTCAAGGTCGTTCTCAGATGATTCTGGGACTTGCTTCTACTCATACTACGTCAATCACAGTGAGTTCATTATAATATAGTATAAAGTCATAGTGAATGTCGATTGGACTGATACAGACAGCTCCAAAATGCTCTATATGACCTTGCGGCCTATCCACAATATCTTCAACCCTTACGCGATGAGTTGGAAGATATGATCGAGCAAGATGGCGGAAAGCTCCTTACCAAATCATTCCTGATGCTTCGGAAGATGGACAGTTTTCTACGAGAGTCTCAAAGAATGAACCCCATTGATCTACGTAAGTTTCTACAAATTAATCGCTGCTTTGAGCTATCAGCCGCTGATTTAGAATTGACACTTTAGTCTCATTGAGGCGGAAAACGAAAATAGCAACAGTTTTCTCTGATGGAACAGCAATCCCTGCTGGAACTTCAATTGCTATACCAGTCTCTATTGTTCGTGAGAACGATATTTTGACCAACCCAGGTGTATTCGATGCCTTCCGATTTGAGAGGTTAGCGGAAGCTGAAGGAAACTTCAACAAATATCTGGTAAGTCTTCCAACATTCTCATGAAAGAACTACTCAGGTCGGATACAGACAGGTATCTCGAACAACATAGAATTTTCGAGTAGCTAATATGGATATAGTATGTTAGTACTGATGGCAACTCTCTGGGCTTTGGTCATGGTGTACACGCATGCCCCGGTCGATTTTTCGCTGCCATTGAAATTAAGTTTATCCTTGCTCACATTCTCCTATATTACGACATCAAATTCGCAGAAGGTACTCGAAGACCGAAGACAACGTATTACGGGACCAATATTGGACCAAACCTTGATGTAGAAATTATGTTTCGAAGAAGATCGAAAGATACTTAATAAGATTCTTTACTACCATCATATCCTATATTGCACTATAGCCCAGCCTAATCACCTGACGCAACTTCGTACTTCTTCCGCTGAATTGCCCTTTATTAAAGACCGCTTGCTTTGTAACCTTTGTCTTTGAATTTAACCAGAAGCACTACTTCGCCGGCTTGATACTCTTCCATTCCACAAAGAGAGAAGCCAGAAAAGCAACTCCTCCAACGCTTATTGGTAAGATGAAAGAATCGTCAATCGATGAAACATAAGCCTCCAATATTCCTGCCATTGAATTGACAGGGAGCTTTTGTCTCAGTTCCGTGACTCCAGTGTTTATTATCTGTTGTGGATCGATACCAGGGGCATATTGAGCGAGATTTCGTGCCAAAGAGTTACTGAAGATATTCTGAGCAATGCTTGTCGACATGGCTCCTCCTAGCGAGTTGGCAAAAATGGCCAACCCAACACCGATCTGAGCGTCGCTAGGGTTCAGCAGTGCCTGTACTGCGACGAAAGGTACTTGTACTGCTAAGCCAGCACTACCACCAGCTAGTATCTGGTACCCAATGCTTTGGGCAAGGCTCGTGTCTACTCTCAGAGTGAATAAAATACCAGAACCAATAGTGAAACAAGCTGCACTAGTTATCATAAATGGCGATACATAGCCCACCTTCACTATCAGTAAACTGGTAAAAAGAGACATGGTGATATTGGAAACAAGGTATGGAACAAGCAGGACGCCAGATGTCGTTGCGGATTTACCCTTCACAGCTTGGAAATATATCGGCATATAATACATGTGCCTGTATAACAATAGGGAAGGACATTAGCATCATTTCTTAAACCTTGAGCAGGAGTCTAGGTTGTTCCAAACTTACACATAAGCACCCACATTGAGCATGAATGCAAAGATGTAGCATGCTAATACCGATCGATGAGATATCACTCTACCAGGCATAGTAGCTCGCTCTCCCCGAAGGAATTGCTGTACAGAAAATGCCAAGAGAACCAGGGAGAAGGTGAGGAGGCATCCCCAGACGCGAGAATCTGACCAAGGATAGACAGAACCACCCCATTCGAGCGCCATAAATAGAGCACTAACACCGCCCACTATCAAGAGAGCACCTAATATATCCAAGTCCAAGATTCTATCTAGGATAGTGACTTTGGTGCCAGAATCTTCGTCCATTGGAGATACTTCGCTCCGAAAGAAAATCAACACTGTTGCGATGACGATAGCTCCAATTGGAAGATTAACCTGAGATTATGTTTAAGAACGCAAGTTACTAGCCACGAAGGAGGATTGGAAATACACACCCAAAAACACATCCTCCAAGAGACCCCGTCGGTTAGAGCACCACCCACAGTAGGACCTAGGATCGAGGAAATGCCAAACATACTCGAAACTATGGCAATGTAGAAGGATCGTGTTTCCAGAGGTACCGTCCTGGTAACGATGGTCATACTCCCAGCAAACACACCCGCTGCTCCAGCCCCTGCAACAGCTCGCCCCGCTATAAACATAGCAGAACTATCTGCTGCAGCGCAGAGGACAGATCCGAGCTCAAATGTTGCAATCGCAACACAAAAGACAGGTTTGACTGAAAATACAGTGTAACATCGACCGAATGATGGCTGAACTGCGCTAATAGCTAGCATGTAGGCTGAGCCATACCAGCCCACTTGCTGGATGGTGCCAAATGTACTCGTGATGGATGGCAGTGCGGTGGCGATTATGTTGGTGTCGAGAGCGACAACGAAATTCGCAAGGCAGACCCCACAGATGAGGACGAAAAATGTGATCCGAGGTAAGCGAACGACATCTGGGGGACACGTGGCTGATGATGCTATTGATACGCTGCTTTTTCGTTCCTTTGCAATCTCTTCTAAGGTGATGGTAGTTTCTTCCATTTTGTTTGACGGAACGCCGCTTTCTACGTCCTTATTCAACGCCTCTGGCATCTCGCTCCTTTCTGTGTTCATTCCGAGTACAAGTCAACTGAACGAAAAGAGAATGTTTTCGATGAATCCCGCAGAAAAGAAAATATAACAAGAGTCGACGGAACAAGCAGATGACCAGAAGTAAACGATATCTAATCTGAGTTCCCAGCTACCTCTACGGTCGCTTGGATGATGGTCCTTGGGCTTCATAGATGGGAGGGCTAAGCTTTGTTCATTTCACCAACATGGTAGTTGAATTACCGTATCTGGAAACACATTGTGTAAAAGGAATAGCTTTTACCAAATCAAGATCTTACTGACAAGATTCCGAGAGCTTAGCGAAGCACGGAGCGTCCGTTAGTATTGAAATTGTCCATCCAAAGAAAATGGATATGCTTCGAATTTTCGCGCTATCATTTTGATTTCAGGGACTCAAAATTGACAAAGCTGAGAGGTCTAGGCCTGTGAAGACATGGTGCAACAGTGGTTTGGTATAGTGACGAAGATTCTCGTTAACGGGGCTAGCCGTTTTGCAACCAAGCTAAACTCAATAAGGTAGCCATCTGACCCAACAAGGAAAGCCCCCGAGCGCTGTCATGATGCCTGATTGTATCAGATTGCATTAGAATAGACTGGATTGGACCGTACACTAATCTAATAAAATTGCCGGGTTTATATAGCTAAATTCTTGTAGTCTTCAAGATTGTGTCACTTTGTTTACGCTTTCATTTTCCGCATCTCAACTACAATCATGACTATCATTCAAGACAGAACTACGACACTTCACGCGGCAGCTGAGAATCTTGTCAGCAACATTCTAGAACGTTTCAATGGAACCCATGCTTCAAGCCTCATGAGCTGTGCTGTTTATGACACAGCATGGCTAGCCATGATTCGAAAACCGCTCGCAAACGACACCTCACAATCGATCTGGCTTTTCCCTGAGTCTTTCACGTACATACTGGATTCACAGCTTTTAGATGGCGCATGGGAGTCTTACGGCAGCCATAGCGATGGGATACTGAACACAGCAGCCTCAATACTCGCGATGCAGCTCCATCATGACGAACCAGCTCAATTATACGGCGTTACTGCACTTGAATTGTCAGAACGCATTGATCGCGGGTGCAAAGCGCTACAAAGTCTCCTGAGCTCCTGGGATGTCCAAGCTTGTGTCCATGTTGGATTCGAAATTTTGGTTCCAAAGCTATTGAGGCTGTTAGAAGAGAAGGGTCGAAAATTCGAATTCGACGGCCGTTGCAGCCTGATGGCTCTCAATAAGGAGAAGCTTACGCGCTTCCGACCGGATATGGTCTATGGAAAACTGCTTACAACTCCCTTGTATTCTTTGGAGGCATTTGATGGAATCGAATCGGAAAAAGTGAAGCACCACAAATCCCTTGGGGCACTTATGGCATCAACCTCGTCCACAGCTTCATACTTGATGGGCCTGAGGACCTGGGATGATGAAGCAGAAGCCTATCTAAAGCGCGTAGTGTCTATAGGACCAGGCAGAGGAAGTGGAGGGGTACCGGGAGCGTTCCCGACAACCTATTTTGAAATGACCTGGGTAAGATTTGCCTGTCACTTTCAAGAACATGAGCCTTTACAGCTAACATATAACCTTTTACTGAACTTAGGTTTTGACGACTCTACTGGAAGCTTCATTTACACCAGAACAACTGGGTAAGGAAAACTTAGAGCAGATTACACAGGTATTGAACAAGGCTCTTGAGGAAGAGGGAGGCATCCTGGGGTTCTGTAAGCTTTCCTGGAGACTCTGTAGTACTGTATACCACAGACACTGACACTATATGTATAGCACCAAGAGTTGGGGTCGATGCCGATGACACGGCCAAAACTATGCTGACCTTACGTATGCTTGGTCATCATGTGGATCCTTCCGCCCTGCTACAACGTTTCGAGACAGAGGATCGCTTTCTAACCTATCAGTTTGAGCGAACGCCGAGTTTCAGTGCCAATTGCAATGTGCTGAGCGCCTTGCTCCATATGCAATCCCCTGAACAATATGCTACTTCTATTGGAAAAGCTGCCAGGTTCATCTGTAATTGGTGGTACACCGCGGATGGACAGATTCCAGATAAATGGGTATGCAAATGTGATCCACTATCGTATTGGAGGCTGATTTGACTGGAAACAGAATACGACTATGGGTTACAATGCAATGCTGATGGTGCAGTCCTTAGTTCGATTGCTGGAGCAGTGGAATGAGGGTAAACTTCAACTGCTTGATGACGAACTCATCTTCGAGCTTATTCCGCTTGCAATATTTCAAGCACTCCTACGCTGTTTAGCAAAACAGAAACCTGATGGAATGTGGGGGAACTCTGCAGAGGAGACAGCCTATTCCGTAATCATCCTTGCAACCGCAGCCAAACTTCCATCTGCAGAGCCATTGCTGACAAAGATCAACGGAAGCATCGAAAGTGCTCACAAAGCTCTCCTTCTCTCGGGTGTAGATAGTCAAGCCAGCTATATCTGGGTAGGAAAGACTTCGTACAAATCCGAGATCCTCTCAAAAACCTACATTCTGGCAGCGCTGAACTCAAGCGCTTCCGCACCAATGACTGGAGATAGGATTGCATCATTGTCCACTACCTCGGCGAGCAAGATTGCCTCATGGGTGAAGTTTTACTCGGGCCTTCCAGGAATTGCCCAAACACCTGATTGGATGCTACTTGCGTCTATCATCGAGGGGTCGCTTCAGTCTCGTCGCTTGCTTCGTAAGTGTAAAGAAGCATTCCCGGAATACAGCACAGACGTCCCAGAGAGAACTCAGCAGTACTTGGAGTATATCCCGGCGGTATGGATAATCTGCAGTAATAAGGACAGTATATTTTGCTCCTCAGAAATATTGTAGGTTTCCCCTTATCCTCCTCTCCCTCTCGCGCTGTGGACTCAAATCACTGCCATTCGATGCTTTACTTCCAGCATCCGCATGCTGAAGATATATAGAAAGGTTTACTAATGTCAAGGGTTTAGATTTGATATGATGATTCTATCCTTTCTCACTTACAAAATCGACGAATACATGGAAACTATCGCCGCTGTCGGACACGGCGGACTAGACAACTTGAAGCAGACCATCTCTAAGGCGTTCAGTTGTACTCAAATCCCTAAATCTACTCAGATATATACCTCATCGCCGACTAATAGCGTCGAGAACACCTTAGCTCATTTTGTCAGCTACGTTATGCGCCTTCCTACAGTCATCAATGCAACCGAATATGACAAGGATAGGCTCCGACAGAAGCTTCGCATCTACCTAGACTCTCACGTCGATCAAATTATCCAAGATCAGCTTTTCTCCAGCGAAAACGGCGCGGGTACGACACGAAGGAACAATTTCACGGCCAACCTATACAATTGGGTCCATGGCGCAGCATCATCGTCGACATCCTGTCAACACGCCTTCAATCTTCTTCTCTGTAGCCATAGCGGTGACGGCGATGTTTTCGACACTGCAGAGCAGGAGTATCTTGCTGAGAGCCTCAGCAATCATTTGGGGGCAATGTGTCGGATTGACAACGATCTGGGATCCATGGCGCGCGACAAAGCGGATGGAATCCTTAATGCTGCGGACTTTCCTAAGATGAATGCTAGATTAGGTACCAAGACTCAACTACTGAATTTGGCTCGCTGGGAACGGAAACAAGTCTCAACTGCGCTGGAGGGTTTGTCGAAGGTAATGGTCTCAGCGAAGCAACGAAGAGTGGGGGAACTGTTACGGATGTTTACAGACGTCTGTGATGTCTATGGGCAGATCTATCATCGCCGTGACCTGTCAGTTGTCGATGCGCCTTGATTTGCTCATAGTGCATGGCCTTGAAAATTATCCCTACTATGTTTTTAGGTAGAATAGACAAAGAATGGTATTGCAAAGTCTGTACCTAGAGTATCTTACGAGCTAGCTGAGGAAAGATAGTAGCTTGGTACACGGGTTTGGCCTGTACTTCTTTAGCCCTAGTCAAGGTAAAGGTAGAGGTAGTGATAAATCATCTGAGGACTTTCACACATTGTCGCATCACAGCTTCGCGACAAGAGGGAAGGTCAATGGGGGCTCGATAGAGTGTTCATATTAACTGTGAGGTACGCCATGCTGTGTTGGCGCAAAATTGCCCTAGAAGTTCTCTTCATAGTTGTCATTCCTACGAGTTCTGACGCCGATATGTGAGTTTGGTTATAGACTAAAAATCTCTAAGCATTTCCATCAATAGGGATGCACCTAACTAAGCATGTATTGTTAATAATGCCCGAGACCTATTCATCTAGTATTGGCTCTTGTGCATTAGGCGTCTATGCAAAGTTAAGGCGCGTAAGTCACGAATGCGCGGATGATCGCCCTAGATAGCCAACCGAGGCAAGCAACTCTAAATCGGTCTCTCTACTTTTGGTTATGGCAAACGATTGAAAATGGACCTCGCTCCACCCTCCTGTACGTATCTAGACCATAGATAAACTGTGTCGCAATACCGCATGGCAAGATTGCAGGCTAAAACAAAAGATCCCTCAAATTAATATTCTCTGCTATTACAGACGGCCTGACCGTCCAGCTCTCTTATATCGTACTGATTTGCAGGAAGTTCCAGAGGCACCGCTCGAACTACAGCAAGTGTAGGCGGCTTTGCATCTGGTATTATCTGCAATTCTGGTTCCTGCACTGCCTTTATTGCCGCGTTACCTACCCTTTGTCTCCGATACAGAATGAAGCCAATGGCGCCAAGTATGGCAAAACCTCCCAACGCACCAGCGACTATCCCGCCGATTAAGCTACCTGACAGCTTTGGCGCTTCGTTTTGTGGCACTAGGATATTGCCGGAAGAGGTTGGCGAAGGTGCGGCATCGATTGATTTACCCGTCGAGTTCGTGCAAAACTCGCTAACCATGTTATTCTGTTTGTCGACTGCGACTACATCAGGGGTCCTCGACCCTATGCTCGCTTGCCAGACGGAAAATCTCTCGGCTTCTTGATTGACCATTATGTAGGCCGAGCTCATGAACAGCCGGCCAAGGACTGGCAGATCGTTGCTATTATAGGACTGAAGTGAATTGATGACAACGTTTCGCACCGATGTATTTGTCTGTACTGCGCCATTGGAGGCAATGTATGTGTCAGGAACGACGAGTTCGGTGTTGGGAATCTTCACTGAGATGCTGTTCTGAAGCTGGATCGTTAGACCTCCGTAATAACTACCTCATGATCATTAGGTTGTGTAACTTCTGAACAGGGATAAGTATGGCACTTACACGTTGCTCGGGTCAAACAGCATTGTAAAATAGTTAATACCGAGGCTTCTTGCCTCAGTCCTGTTATCCGGAGGCGTTCCACCCGTGAGCAATCTGAAGTTGTTGTAATAGTTCAGTGGAAGTGTCATTAGTCCCGCAAAGCTAGGACTTATACATGCTTGTATCGCCGCTGATTGTGACCCCATAAACACGCTCGTGTCGGTACCGTTTGGCCAGTTCAGAAGAATATCGCTGATCGTTACCACCATGCCCGTCCCACAGCGGCTGCCTCGGAACAGTGATGCTGTGAAGTTGTCATTGGGATCTGAAATTAACGATCTGTCTAGACCGCCGAGAACCAATGACCCTCGAGTCTGCTTCTCGGCGGGACCACCCACGAGCCCCTAAAATATGGAGTATACTTTCGTACCTATGTTACCAGCGGATACGAGTGCTTGTAAGAACGCTGAGTTCCTGCCCAAGCCGAGCTGTGATTGACTCGTGAAGGCCTGATTGAGGTCTTGTTTCGGAACACCGAATCCAAACGAAGAAAGCGACGTGTTAATGCCGAAGCTTAGAGTATCCTCCATCCAGTCCACTTTGAAGCCATCACTATCCTTTCGACTGCCGATTGACTTGTCTGTAGACGATTTTGATGCATCGTATGCTCCGCCACGGAATGTTACGCATGCTTGCGATGAGTAGGAATCTGTACAGAATCCATCCATTCCATAAATATAGGTCTCGTTGTAATCTCTATATACCGCACTGGTTAGCTATGCAGAATCTTTAACATTTCTTAGCATGTGTGTTGTAAGACTTACCCGCTGGCAAAAAAAGAGATGTTCTGATTGTTGGAACCGACAGTCATGGATATTCCCCTCACATAGGCTCCATTCGGTAGAGATACATTATGAATAGGTGCAACAATGGGCTGTGGCTGGCACTGGCTATGAACAAAGGTGATAAAATACAAGACTCCCAGAGTCAGTAGGAACATGCCCATTGCAATGGCGATGTTGAAGTTGACGACGCAGAGAAGTACTCGAAGGCCAGTAACTGGTGGTATAGAGAAACAATAAAGCGGCAAGGTACTTTCAGCCGATAGCGCTTAAATGGGTAGCAGCGCATGTTCATTCGAATTTGGTGTTATGTTGCAGTCAGGTTATACTAGTCCACCAACCAGCGAATATTGTTAAGCGCTGCCAAACGCTGCTTAGCGCCAACCGCGACCTCCCCTGCGCGAATCTAGATATTAGTTGAACTGTGCCGCAATGCCACATCGCGAGACTGCAGGCTACAACAAAATCTCTCCTTTGTTTGTCGCAAGAGGCACCCCCCATATCTTCCATGAGAAATGCCTTAGGCCGTGCGATCTAGTTGTTCTTCATCCCCTAGTAACCAGCATCTCCTTGTTCCTCTGTATATCACTTACACACATGCGTGTGAAGCATCTGGAGTACCCAAGATCACTACCCATCACGCAATGATGCATTCCCGCAAAAAAATCGAACTCGTGGTAGTAGCAGTGTTTATGCTCTGCATATGGTTCATCGTTGACGCGCACTTTAATAATGTTCAAGAAGAAACTGTTGAGGCTGGCGTTGCCAAGAAGCCATGGCGATATGAGGCAAAAGAAGGAGAAGAAGAGTATAAGACCTCTGATCAGGAAATCGCCCACGGTGTCACGGAAGAAACGCCATTGGCAATCATCACCGCTCATCATCCAAGCACTCCGGCGCAAAGCCATACGGTCGCAACACTTAGCCCATCTCCACCCGATCGCGTCGTAGTAATGGCAAAGCTTCCCACTGACGACACGCGCTGGGTACATACCGACCTACCAAACTGGCAATCAGCCATCTACGACATTGACACTGAGACCCCGCACAAGACATCGAATCTGGACCCACTCACAAACAGTACTCTGCGTACGCTTCGGAACAAAGGAATGGAAGCGAATGCTTACCTCGCATACATTGTACAAAATTACGATAATCTCCCTTCAACGATCGCCTTCATTCATCCGCACAAAGACGGCTATCCAATCGCCTGGCATACCGACAACAGCGAACATTCGAATGTAGTCTCTCTACAAACCCTCAACATCAACTTCATTCAAAGCAATGGTTACGCGAATTTGCGTTGCGTTCCTAATCCCGGCTGCCCACACGAAGTGATGCCGTTCCGAGATCCGCCGGAGGAACATCGAACAATCGAAGCAGCAATGCCAGATGCGTGGCGAGACTTGTTTAACAATACTGATGTACCGCACATATTGGCCACTCCTTGCTGCGCACAGTTTGCCGTGTCGAGCAAGCAAGTGAGGAAGCGGCCTTTGGACGAATACAAAAAGTACTATACGTGGCTGATGGAAACACCGCTAAAGGATGAGACCAGTGGGCGGGTGTTTGAGTATCTTTGGCATATTTTGTTTGGCCAAGAGCCGGTCTAGTAAGTACTCGGGGAGTTAGAATTGCGATGCGCGGTTGCTGACTTTGATTAAGCTGCCCTGCATACAAGAAGTGTTATTGCGATGTGTATAACAAATGTTGAAGTATCCTTGTTTCGTGTAAGATCGGCAAAACCTGGGAATTTGTCGGCGATACGTTCGATCTCAACTGAAAGATCGAAGCCGGTGTGGATATACGTTCAAGATCCTAGCACGAAGATGCAACGTGCCGTCATCATTCTGAGCAAAGCATGGCACGTGGAAACACTATCCATACCAGATGAAAGCCATGACTTGAAGCCCGAAAGTCTTTTTTGGTTTTGTACGGACCGGACGGTCGTATGTCGGGTAAGACTTGCCTAGCGCAGCAAATTGGGTATCGGGTCGACGATATGGATCAACACGAGTGGCGAGAGATTCGGCAGACGTACACAGTAGCAGCCCGAGGGCTCTATTGGTACTAGGCTCGTGTTGATGGAGTTAGTGAGGTGCTAATATGTGCCGAGGTAGAAGCGCATGCAGGGCCGTGTATCTTGGGCCTGGCTATGTTTGGTAGGTATCACGCATCTGTGGATTGTGTGTTGCCGTAATTAGAGGCGGAGCATGTCCAAAATACCTTGGGTTAGTGTACGTAGTGTATCAATATGTAGTACAGTGTTGCCGAGGGAAACTTTGCAAAACAGTCGATGAGTGAACGAATGCCAGGCTGATTGCTACCAATCCACAAGGTTGTGTGTTTGTGCAGTGCATCTACACCCAGAATGCGTGAGACGAAATGTTTGATGGGCCACGAATGGAGCAGAATCGCAGAAGTACTGGGGCAGAAGGTCGAGTGCACAGAGGCGATTGATGACGTGACTCAGGGAGAGTGGTGGTGATTAGCGGCGGGAGACAAGGAGGGGCGGGACCATAAGTGGAGAGAGAAAGTTGCAAGCTTTCTCTCGCTTGCACTTCCTCCACCCTCGCCCCTGGCCCGCGCGATGATGAGCAGACAGCCACGAGCTTCATTCGCTCTCGTATTCTTCTCGGACACGGTTGATTCCCCACATCTGATGTCGCAAGACCAGCGGCCGTTGCTCTCATGGCCATGCCTTCGCTGGTCGCCAGAGCAAAAGAGGTCCGCGGAGTCCAAGACGACATGGCAATCAATTGGGTGCAACAGGCACAGGTCACCATATAAAGAGTCGGATAACTGCATGGGGCTTTGCACAACGTGTGCCACTCGCAGCGGGATACTTCCAAAGCCGGTTTCTTAGTCCAAGCCACACAGTTTGCTTGCCCGTCAGCCGCGACTGTCTCGAAGATCGCTCGTGTCGCGGCGTGGCAGCCCATGGCAGACGACATTGAGGTTACATGGTAGTGGCTGGTCTTCGGGGCGCAATGAAAGGCTGTCGCATCAGTTTCGAGAAACGAGAGTGCTGTCAAGCACAGAAGATCGACAGCTTGCTACGTCCTAGGTTGGGGCATCCTTGGGAGCGAAGGCGAGTGTGGGCCCGGCTTGGAATAGTGCCTGTGCAAGGAACGTGAACGGGTATGCTCTGATGACCTCACTGTGACTGTTAGCCTTCTGGCAACTAATCAACCCACTACTCGGCCATGGGATGAAAGCGCAGTCGATTAGCCCAATGGGCTAAAATAACTCGGTTAGGGCCTCGCATGTTGTATCAGCCTGTCCTGCAAACAGCGTGGGGGGTGCGGCACGGTTGTGCAGTTGTGCTCACCCATGTCTCTCCTTCTCTAACATGCTGTACCTCTGCACCATCGTGAGCGCCCATTCACTCTCACCTCACTCTCTCTGGCTTCACACGCCAGCTTTCTTACCTCGCCAGACCTGGTTTCGCTCCATCACTGCATTCATCTATCACTCCATTCTTCCTTCTTTCCTTCTCTCGTAGCATTGACCTAGCCAATTATGTCATCTGCACTGGTGCTGCGGCGAATTGTTGTTGTCGCTGCCCTGGCAATCTCTGCGACTGCTCAACAGTGCTGTAAGATACTTTCGACTATTTCTCATGCACCATCGCTAATTGACAACAGACTACCCCAATGGCGACAGGGCCCCCGACACTGAACAACCTTGCTCCTCAGCAGAAGGCTCAGCCTGCTGTCCGGAAAAATGGCAGTGCCTTGACAATGGCCTTTGCCACTATCCTGCCAATAACCTGTACGGCAGATATAGCTGTACCGACAAGAGTTGGAAGTCGGAAGGCTGTCCGTCCAACTTGTGCACCTACGGTGAGGCGTCTGACAACTCCATCTCGATAGGTCTAACAAGCATTAGATCTCAAAGCTGCTGGTGGCGAGTCAATAACACAATGCTCCGACCACAACGATCAATGGTGCTGTAACGCTGATGCTGTGCACGTCAATTGCTGCCAAGAATCTCCATCTCCGCGACCCTTCTTTGCCCTGCAGGATCCAGCAGCATACGCCACCATTGGCTCCATGACAGCATCAACCGTACCAAACCTTGCAAGCATAACAGGCCAAGCAAGTGGAAGTGGCTCTGGAGATCAGATGTCAACATCGCCAACATCCGCGTCCCGGTCTTCACCATCTTCGCCCGCATCCTCGCCGCGAACTACAGATACCCTATCCTCTCCTACCTCACGTGATTTATCCGCATCGGCAAATTTGCGCTCATCTGCTACACCATTCACTTCAGTATTTTTCAGTCTTTCATCAGGATCTACTGGATTTGTCAGTGTTCCTGTCACAAGCGTCCTCACACCTACTCCAGGTACTAGCAACGCAGCAGACGGTGGCAGTAATGGGGGCGGATCAAACTCGAATTTGGGATTGATAATTGGCTGCGCAGTGGGCATTCCTTTGGGACTTGCTTTGATTGGCATTATCTTCTTGCTTTTCCGAAAGAGGCGCCAACAAAATAGAGACCCCTACAGCAAAGCCGATAGAGCGGATGAAGACGACTCAAACATTGCAGGTGCTGCTGGCACCAAACTGACAAAGAAGGAGATGTACCGCAACTCCGCGTCTGCTGCTGAAATAGATGGAAACCCTGTAGGCGTTGGGCGGCCAGTCTCCACCATACAAGGCCACGCAGAACTGGCATCAGGAAATGGATTCCAGGCTGGACACGGCACGCCCTACGGACCAGATGCAGTTGGTATCGGTGGCGGAAACCTCCATCCAGATCGAAACACTTGGAATACTTTTCCACCCCAATACTCACCGGGGCAGAACCAAGCGGCGTTCAATTATCCAGAAGCGAGCGAGCTAGCAGATACAAGCACAAGGCCAACCGTCGATGAGAAGGGAGAACAACAATATGTGGCATACAGACCGCAACCAGCAGCAGAGATGCCGACTATAACGACTCCACCCGAGGATGTGGAAAAGAATCTGCGTTCGTAGAGAAGGGCCAAAGCTTGGATGCGTTTGACGTATAACCTGCGAGT